TTATACTCCGGCCATGAAGAAGAAAATGCACCACATACACAAGGAGTTGCATTGATGCTGTCCAAACAAGCGCAAAATGCACTTATAGGATGGGAATCTCATGGACCAAGGATCATCAAAGCCTCGTTCAAAACAAAGAAAGAGGGCATTTCAATGAACATCATCCAATGCTATGCGCCTACCAACGACTACAATGAAGACGCTAAAGATCAATTCTACAATAGGCTGCAGTCAATCGTCGAGAAGTGCCCAACAAAGGACCTGACCATTCTGATGGGAGATTTCAACGCCAAGGTTGGAACGGACAACACTGGATATGAAGACATCATGGGACGACACGGACTGGGAGAAAGAAACGAAAATGGTGAGAGATTTGCAAACCTATGTGCCTTCAATAGACTGGTCATAGGCGGCACCATATTCCCACATAAACGCATACACAAAACCACATGGACTTCACCGGATCACACTACACAAAACCAAATCGACCATATTTGCATCAACAAAACGTTCGGGAGGACGATGGAAGACGTGAGAACCAAGAGAGGAGCTGATATAGCATCAGATCATCACTTGCTGGTCGCCAAGATGAAATTGAAACTCAAGAAGCACTGGACAACGGGGCGGACAGTATCACAAAAGTTCAATACGGCCTTTCTCCAGGATACTAACAAACTCAACAAATTCAAGATAGTCCTCAGCAACAAGTTCCAGGCCTTTCATGATCTACTCAATGGAGAAGGAACTACTGTGGAGAGCAACTGGAAGGGGATCAAAGAGGCAATCACTTCAACATGTCATGAGGTCCTGGGTCACAAGAAGCACCATCACAAGGAATGGATCACTGTTGATACACTGGATAAGATTCAAGAAAGGAGGAACAAGAAGGCAGCAATCAATACCAGCCGAACAAGAGCAGAAAAAGCCAAGGCACAAGCTGAATACACAGAAGTAAACAAACAAGTGAAGAAGAGCATCAGAACCGACAAACGTAAATATGTGGAAGATTTAGCAACGACGGCGGAAAAGGCTGCAAGAGAAGGAAACATGAGACAATTGTATGACACGACAAAGAAACTCTCTGGAAATCGCCGCAAACCAGAACGACCAGTGAAAAGCAAGGAAGGCAAGGTAATCACCAACATTGAAGAGCAACAAAACAGGTGGGTAGAACACTTCAAAGAACTCTTGAATCGACCAGCTCCACTGAACCCACCCAACATCGAAGCAGCACCCACGGACCTCCCAATCAATGTTGGCCCACCAACAATTGAAGAAATCAGCATGGCCATCAGACAAATCAAGAGTGGCAAAGCAGCAGGACCGGACAACATTCCAGCAGAGGCACTAAAAGCAGACGTAGCGGCAACTGCAAGGATACTCCACATTCTCTTCAGCAAAATTTGGGATGAGGAACAAGTACCAACAGACTGGAAAGAAGGACTTCTGGTCAAAATACCGAAGAAAGGCGATCTCAGCAAGTGTGATAACTACAGGGGCATCACTCTTCTCTCAATACCGGGAAAAGTCTTCAACAGGGTATTGTTAAACAGGATGAAGGACTGCGTAGACGCCCAACTTCGTGACCAACAGGCAGGATTCCGTAAGGATAGATCGTGTACAGACCAAATCGCAACTCTACGGATCATTGTGGAACAATCAATTGAATGGAATTCATCACTCTACATCAACTTCATTGATTATGAAAAGGCATTCGACAGTGTAGATAGGAGGACATTATGGAAACTTCTTCGACACTACGTAGTTCCTGAGAAGATTGTCAACACTATCCGGAACTCATACGACGAACTACAGTGCAAAGTAGTGCATGGAGGACAGTTGACAAAGTCGTTCGAAGTGAAGACCGGTGATAGGCAAGGTTGCTTACTCTCACCCTTTCTCTTTCTCCTGGTGATCGACTGGATCATGAAGACGTCAACATCTGAAGGGAAGCACGGGATACAATGGACATCTAGGAGGCAGTTGGACGATCTAGACTTCGCAGATGATCTGGCCCTTCTATCTCAAACGCAACAACAAATGCAGGAGAAGACGGATAGTGTAGCAGCAGCCTCAGCAGCAATAGGTCTCAATATACACAAAGGGAAAAGCAGGATTCTCCGATACAACACAGAATGCACCAATCCAATCACAATTGACGGAGAAGATTTGGAAGATGTAAACACCTCTACATATATGGGCAGCATCATTGATGAACAGGGTGGATCTGATGCAGATGTGAAGGCGCAGATCGGCAAAACAAGAGCAGCGTATTTACAACTGAGGAACATCTGGAACTCAAAACAACAGTCAACCAACATTAAGGTCAGGATTTCCAATACAAATGTCAAGACAGTTCTACTGTATGGGGCGGAAACCTGGAGAACTACTAAAACCATCATCCAGAAAATACATGTGTTTATTAACAGTTGTCTACGCAAAATACTTCAGATCCGTTGGCCGGACACTATTAGCAACAACCAACTGTGGGAGAGAACAAACCAGATTCCAGCGGTGGAAGAAATTAGGAAGAAGCGCTGGAAGTGGATAGGATATACATTGAGGAAAGCAACCAACTGCGTCACAAGACAAGCCCTCACATGGAATCCTCAAGGCCGAAGGAAAAGAGGAAGACCAAAGGACACATTATGCCGAGAAATGGAAATAGACATGGGAAAAATGAACAAGAATTGGATGGAACTAGAAAAGAAGGCCCAGGACAGAGTGGGTTGGAGAATGCTGGTCAGCGGCCTATGCTCCATTGGGAGTAACAGGCGTAAGTAAGTAAGTTAGTAAGTAACTTGGGACCGAACTGTGAAATGGAAGGTGGGGTTGGTATTCTCGGTGTACGTGGGTTGTAGTGGTTGAGAGCTTCTACGGCTAAATATCTACACACTTTTTCATGGTTTATGTTATTTATTATGATGATATTTGTATGGAGTATACCGACTATTTTCTGATACAGCAAACTGAAAAACAACTGACAGAATAAACAAATTTATAAATGGTTATCTGTCAGTTTATTAGTGGTAAACAGTCCTAATCCTAAGAGAAAGATGAGTAAACAGGCGAAGTTTCATCACCTATGAGCAATATGTGGTGATGGCTTAGCTGCTTAAAAATTCAATTTGGATCGTAAGTTTAGAACCTCTTTGGCCTTTGTTAAATTGAACCATAGAATAACATCACAAATTCTCATGTAAAATGATCTGACTCAAACTCTTATTTAAATAGGAGATGTATATTTTTTCACTTCACATAACTAGACCACTTAGCTAATAAAAATGTCATAAAAAATGAATGATAAATGTCATCATTATTTTATACATTCGAGTTAACTGTAAGCCGATGCTATCAGCAAAATGAACCACATAAATTGCATACTTTTTTTGTGGTAAATTTCACTAGAATACTTGTCAATAATATGAGTTTTGTAGTTGGTCAATTCTTAAACATGTTTTATATGAGAATAGTTTTCACGATGGAATCATTGGAAAATTAAAGCACGCAAACTTCTGTTTGGTCATTCTTTGGGACTTATCGACAGTACACGTCAAAAACCTATATTCGATTAGTCTAAATATGTGCTCAGTTATATTTAAGTGTTTTTTTGGAAGGGATCAAAGTTTCTGAATATAATTGGTTATAATTGGTTAAAAGTTCTAACTTACCAATTGCTGAAATGTATTTACTATAGATTGTGCCTTTGATTCTTAAACTTTCAGTTTTTTATTTTGGTTATTACTCTAGTTGCATATGAAAATACTTTCGTAGTTTGACTCGTTTTTGTCAAATATCATAAATCCTATAGTACAATGACTAATTTTCGGTAATCATCTACTGGAATGTATTCGAATGAATTGATTGATATGTACATAGCTATATACTCCAATCATATAGCATGGTATTTATTTTTAAAGGGATTTGTAAACTATAAAATTAGAAAAGATTATCGAGTCACATTTCTTATTGATATTTAAGTGAAGTCACTAACAGGTAGACAATGATTACGGAGTACGATTTATTTACTGTATTCCATTATTTTCTCCTCAACCATATAAAATGCAATGAGTTTACTTCATGAGTTATTCATCACATAATTGTAACCTTTTGTTAGCGGGACATAGATTGGATTAAAGTATGCTCAATGCACGATTGCTTTGGTGCACGCCGACTGGCTGATTTCTATCCAATCAGCGCTAGTCGATGCTTGGAGAACATTCTAGAATCTTCTCGTGTAAAAACTATAAATATACTAACATTTTTCTTATTGTACTTCTTACTTCCATCTAACGTTGTTGCTTGGAATATAATCTCTTTCCTGTTCAATCGTGTTCTGATTTAGTGACTTGTCGAGTGAATTGGTGTTCAAGAATACTAAGTAATATGAATAGCTGGGTTGTAATAAGTGAGAATTATAACACCTTTCGAATAATTCACTATTCTCTGGTAGACAAGATAATTATTTTATCTCCAATAGTTTGTATCTATCGATGTACGTAAAAAATTTTATTCGAACTCATAATCTCAATCAAAAAATTAATAATCTTCAAAACCCCTATACTGATAATTAACAAGTGCTCACAAATGACTAGCTTCGTGAGGGAATTCTCGGAGATCTAGTAAGAAGCCGTGGCCAGTGGAGCTAACATGTGTCGGATAGAGACAGGTATCTACCTCAGTACAATGGAAGACGGTCGCGCAATTTAAACACTAACACCATCGAATGCCGGCTCGATGGTTAAGCGTCCGCTCACGAAACTGAGGACCCTCGGTTCGAATCCCGCGAGCGGGATCGTGGGTGCACACCTCACTGATGAGGAGTCCCACAATAGGACGAGACGGCCATCCAGTGGCCTAACATTAATCCGTTCATGATCTCAATGAAAGGAAAAGATAGAATATAATGAATTCACTATACTTTGCGTTATAGTGACTTTTAACTGATATCATATGATAATAATAATAATAACAATAAACAAATACTCTTTTTATTTTAGATTATTCAATTGAAGAATTAACTATACAAAATCGACGATTAAATGAATCAAATGAACGATTAGAAAATCGTCTACAATTAATAATACAAACAATAAATGAATTAGATAATCTGTATAATTCTATTAAAAATGATGGCTTCATTAAACGTTATACCACTTTAAAAGATGCCGTTAAACGGATTGTTACAAATAATGATTTATATGATAATCCTTAAGTATAAACATATAACAATGAAGTATTTAGTGCTGCTTTTTTTGTCACTCACTTGGCTCAAAGCTAATCGTCGTTGTTGGTGTTCTTCCTCCTCTTCAAAATACTACTTAAATACTAAATCCAATTCTGTACAAATTTTCCGAAACAAACGAATAAATGGGAACATGTTGATGATGTAATATCGAATTTCTGCTTTATGTTAATATGTCATTGTAACCAATCAATAATTTTGATTATTTATACTAGTATATCATTATGTAATTATTTTTCTTTTGTTTTTTTAATACTAAATTTATATCTTCAATTATTCAATAAACCATGGATTGTATTACACCTTAGAAATGTGTATTCTTTGTATTCCCTTTAAAGTGAAACTTGATAAAGACAATATTTACTAAAGATCAACATAACAAACTTCTGGAAACTATTTAAAAAATGGTTGTTTATTTGTTTTTCATCTGAAAATTAGATTTTCATTTTGCTTTGTATGTTAATGTCTTTAAACTATTTATTTATTTTTTTCAGGGAACTATAATCAATTCATTAATTAATCTAAAGATTTGATATATTTGATAGTATGGTTGTTTTGTAGTAAACATCTATCTGAAGCGACATATCAATGTAAGTTTTTGACTGTTACAGCAACGAAAGATAATATCTATATTAGATTAGATTAGATCAGATTCTACATACTGATACTTTCCATTTCAAATTATTAATTTGTTGAAACTTTTAAAAATTTGTATATAATTTCATCAATGACTATATTGTGAAGTGACTGTGATGTGAGTTACTTATATCCACATAAGTAGTATATAACAATGGTTAGACATAAAGTGTCTTTCAGTGGAAGATCGAAAGGAAAAAAACGGTAACGAAGAGCAATCAGTACGAAAATGCATAAACAATGAAATCTAAGACAATGGACTGGTATTCGAGGAAGGAACAGTCAAGTTTGAGGCGATGGATTTGCACAGTTTTTTCGGGGTTTTTTTCTTTCTTTTTCTTTTTTTTAAAAAAAACATTTTCTCTTTTTTGTATTCGTTACTGTTTTTTGTTGTTGCGTAAGAAACTTGTTGAAATAACCTGTGCTGAGAATTCTATATTGTACCAAAACTATAATATTGAATAAAGCCATTAATAATAATAACAATAATTTATATTTTACTAATCAACTATTTACTGTATGGTTCTCAGATTTCAGTGAGATGTTCTGTAATTCGTGTTCAAATATATTCGGTTGTCTCCATTCTTGTTCTTGTTCACTTGAGTGACTACAAATGAGAGCATGGACCAATGGATTGCGTCTGTCGTTTTACCTGAAAGTGTCATATTATTAAATGTGACAGTTGCTGAACTAACGGTGTGTACTCCCCACACGTCTCAAATCAAACAGAAATAGTCGAGTAATTCCCCCTGTTTTACATAATTTTTTTTAGCAAATGTAAACAACCATAAGTAATTATCTTTTTACACAAAACTCAACTTATTTATCTATCCATCTTTTGAACAGAACAATATACTAAGATTAATATTGGCTTGTTTTATGCATAATTGTTATCTGATCCATTTTATACCACAGATTGTTTTCTTTTATCAGTCATAATTAACAAAAATAAATGAAGTACATCATAGTTACAAAATATACTATTCATTTACTTTTTGTTTATTCACATAACGAATAAGTCATAAATTAAGCTACTTAAATTTTCTTAGTGTAAGATTTTTTATAACAGTACATTCATTTACATAAGACTGTACTTAACAAGAATACATGCTTAGTCAACACATCTAATCATTATAATATCCTTGTACAATTTCGTAAAAAATATTTCAATAGTAAAACGTTCTTAGTTGGGGTAGTTGACGTATAATCATCTGACTGTGTCGTCATTGGTAACTGCCAAAACAATATTCTTTTCAAGATTGAGATGAATATAGATGTAAACTGACAGACCGCTAAACAGTAACACATCACGTATGATCTAGTATTCAGTACTAATCATATTTGTAACATATTGACTAGGCTCACTGATATGATGTTGCAATGGACGTTGTTTGATATCAGGTTGCTAAGGCAGACTGATATGTTGTCCTGGTTTTAGATTACATACAAGTAAGGTCTCAGAAGTAGTACGTATTTACAATCTTTTGGAAACTGCATCACTCATTGTCGTCCAGGACTTAGCCACCGTGAACTAGGAATGCTGAGGTCTATTCAAGTTTAGAGCGTTTGGGCGTTGGGAGACAAAACACCAGACAGTTCATTTTACAGTTTTCTTATTATTGCTACATTTTAATTAAATGACATCAGAGTTACAGTAAATCCCGCTAAAGAATACTATGTGGCTTAAATTTGTTTATATAGTTGAAAAGATTATGTTTATATTCCCTTGATAATGATTAAACTGACCTATTACTGATAAGACAGGTAATCATCCTAACATTTACTCTTAAATAGAGAGGGTAATTTCTGTAACTTATCATAATGTAACGTTGTCTTTTAAATCAACTGAATATTGTTGTCAATAAGATTGATAACATACACTTATAACACACTAAAATAACATACGCACAGCCAAAACAGGGATCAAAAGGTGAGGGTAATTATGAGAACTCTAATAACGAGCTATTTAGTGCTTCGTAGTTTCAGAACAATTATCATTTCGTTGTGAAAAATACATTCAAATCGAATACTCTTTTCTGATTATGACTCAGTATATAATAGTTTCTAGTTTCGAGAGTCATTAATAAAAACTAGTTTCAATTTTGTTTGTTAAAAAAATACTCTGAGTAAATCATGTTATCAATGATACAATCCACAATAGGTACTCGTGTGAAGCACAAGTATTTAAACATATAAGTCAGTAGAACAGTATTGGATTTATCCAATATCATATATACGATGATACAACACAAAATGTTCATTATTGTGACTTGGGAGTAATAAAAAGCAGTGATAAGGTATCAATTTCCTTTGTCCAAAAACACTTTCGACTAGCTCTGTCACAATAATGTACAAACTCCGATCCATAAACTTTTAATTAAATACTTCACACTTATTGAAACGATTGAAAAGAAGAAATATATATATCGATTACCGTGGTATTTTCTCTTGAAGGCTTACAGCATTGAGGATCATGAGAAGTTGCATAGATTTTGTAGCACCACGTGAGTACTTTGTGCTTTACTGATACTAATTGATAATCAGAATAAATATAAAACAGGGAAATATTTTAAAATATTTGGAACAGTTTTAAAACAGATACCTAGAGGTTTGAGCAAGTCGTAGACTCATATATGTGTATATGTTCCTAAAATCATTGGTTAAAACTATTTAGTTGATTTATATGCAAAGATGGGTAGTGGCTAGCAGTGCAATCCAGGACTTAGTAGTGAAGTGGATAACGCGATGGCGTTTAAAGCGAACGATACTGAATTCATGTCCCAGAGTGAATACTAACCCTGAGATGCAGTTATATCCAGCTGACAAGTCCCAAATAGGACCAAACGCGCGTCCTGGATTCCACTGCTATCCACTACCCATCTTTGCATATAATAATTGTGAATTAAGACTATATTGAGATAATACGCACATTATGCACAAATGTCAATAAGAGACTGATCAATTACAGTCCTAAATATCAATGAGAAGATTCAAAAAAACAATACCAAATGCATATAGTTGACTGATCAAAGATTCTATACGTAATTTATTCAAAATATTTTATGGACTTATTAATGAACCAGAGAAATAAATAAAAATCTATATTCGCATAAATTCACTCTTTGAATCGAATTTAGGAAAACTTGTAGAATTTTATAAACCGCACAAAACTTCTTTTATACGTAATTGAAATTCAATATCTTTTCATCAGTAGTATGTTCATACAACTTGTAGAACGATTATTAGTGAATAAAAGATTATCAATAATATCAAGATAATATCAGTTTTCCTCTAAGTTTTTGTTTTCAGAATTATAAACTGAACATTCGTAATTAGTGAAAACTTTGAAATCATTTATGTAGAAGCAATCTGCCTGTCAACATAATAAACATGATAGATTTAGAAAAAGAGAAGAAAAAAAGAAGAATATTCAATCAATAAAATTCATTTCAATAATTATAATAGAATCATATTGTTTGTACTAGTTACATGCTTTTTAAAGGAAGGAAGCCATTTCTGCTTCATTTCTTTTCAGAATATAGAGAATTTCTATATAATTCAAGTTGAATAAAGAAAAATACAGTATGATAATATTTTTAATGTAAACAGTATACAAGTTATAACATTTTTGTATCTAGGATATAGCTGGAATGTTTTTTAATAATCTATGACAACGGTTGTCAGATAATCTGTAGCGTTAAAATAGAGTTTTGGAATGTTGTGATAGTTTTGAAGGAAGAGTAGTTACATTTTTATTCGCCTGGAAAATGGTTAAAGTTTTCTAATGATAAGGGTTTACTTAAGCTTGAAAATGGAATTGAAAATCATTATATGAGATCTACTCTTAGGTATACAACTTGTTTTTGCATGATTCTCTCTTAATATTCTTTTTCCAGTATCAGATTCCCGTGTTACTTGTTCTAATTTTTCGAACCGAAATGAATCCCAAACAAATGAACCGAGAATTGGTCTTGAGGATATCAATTCAAGTGATTTGACTAAATGGAAATTACTGTAAAATGCTGTCACGTACAATGTATTTCCAGAATCTTCCCTTAATATTACTCTAATTTTTATTCAATTATCCAGTTGTCACACAAGATAACATTCTTCGTTAATCACATTGCTTAAACAATAACTCCCATTAATAATAGAACCATTGATTAGTGAGTCAATCAGTCAGTCGAAAGTAAGCTATGATCTGGTCCAAATGTTTACTGATTTAAGTGAATACACTTCATATTAAAACGAAGAACGATAAAATTTACGAGATAAAACTCAAAAGCTATCTAAGCAACGGTATTAATTAAAAAAACTAGACATGAATAAAATTACTGATGGTCACTTTTTATTAAAACATCACAGTTTTAGAATTTCGTATGACATTAATCATTCATTTTTCCATAAGACAAATGTATCTGTTACATAAATGATACATCATTTCTCCAGTAATCAGATTAATCTTCTGATATTGTTTAGATAGGATTACAATTTACATTGTAATCTGAATAGAATCAATAGGATAATAAAATTGATCAGATACTTTAATTTCGCGAGCTTCTATGTGTAGTGTGGAGTCGAGTCGCGATTGGCTATGATCACCACTATCGGAAGATTACGTGCCAGTTGTTAGGTTGGATCCCTCCGTAGGCCAAAAACCAGAAGGCAGTTGACGGTTGTAATAAGATGGCAATCTCGTGGTATCGAAATAATACTAAGATCGTGCCAAAGTTTACAATCGGAACTCCTAAGCCTACGCGAGTCCGTGAAAGGTTACAGTCAACGGAAGAATGTATGTTTTTAGTACACTTAAACAAACACGTACAGTAAAACAATCACTGGTACAATTGGTTATAATAATAATTGTTTCCATTATACCAATCGCGTTCTTTTCATAAAAGTAGGTCACTACATACGTACGAATATAGTGATTTCTCAGGTTTTGAAAGGTGATTTATGATAATGATTATACCGAAAAGAAATCACTAATAGAATTTGAATCGACTAAAAACATAAAACAATGATATACAACGAACTAATAGCTATTGAAGTAAGAGGATTAACTGAACAATTACGTCCAGTCGTTTATATAATGGAAACTAAAAGGTGATAAATAAACAATCTTTTCTTATACATTTTATTCATAAAGAGAAATTATTATGTTTGTAAATAGTATGAAACTGTTTTTTTATAAAATAACAAACGGTCTATTCAAAGTGTTAGTTGCTTCTGGTTTCAATGTGAAGACCGAAATTGGGATGGAGGTAAATCTAAATGATAAACATTAAACATGAGTTGCGGATCTCATTTATAGACAGTATTCAAATATCATATCTCTACTTTTCTGTTCTATACAATTTCCAACAGTTTTGATTTATCTTATTGCTTATGGGCACAAGACTAAATATTTCACATTTAGGAGAATTAAAGCTGTTTAAACTATA